ATATTCCTACAAATATGAACGGATAAAATCGTACCTGAACTTCATGGGTCTCGAGGTGTCTCCTTAACAGGTACGGACAGAGAAAGGGGCGGACGGTTCAGTTTTCAGGTTGGAAGAAATGAGACATCATTCATTACCATTAAATCAAATAATCCAGTTTTTTTTCTCCCACGCCAATGACACTTAAATCGAAACCTGAGAAAATATTTTCAAAATTGATTCACTTTTACAAAGTCTTACTTCAAATTGCTAAGGGAAAAGCACTCATTTAGAAAAATCCATACAGAAAAAAAACTCACAAAATCCGATTTATTCTCAATTACTTTATTTTTTATTTTTAAAGATGCACACGCCTTTCATCTGTACTGTGTGAAACAATGATAACATTCAAATATAGTATTTTTATGAGAATTATAATTACTGTTAAAAAGTATACGATGGAGCAGAACAATTAACGTGAGTCTATACTATTATGCTGAATTCGAATAGCTCTTCAGCTGTCACCTTGTTAGCGTGGGTGATATGCAATACAATGAGTTAAATACACGCATGCCTCATTTAGCTGTACAACAAGGGACATGATATCCGCAAAAGGTAAAAAACAGGTAAGCGTCTAAAGAGAAATGTTGCTAGGTGCAGTTTTAGGGAAACAAATATGTTTGCATGACAAGACATCTCGCAGGTAACCGAACTTTTGCTGTGATTCCAGCGTTTTTGATACGTGCATGTTGGAACAGAATCTCTTAAAATATTTTTTTTTATATATTTTTTAACGTCAATGTATTAATTCCTTGTACATGAAAAATTGAAATAGTACAAAACTCTGAACCCATTTTTGCATTTTAAGCCGCCATTTTCATCTTTTAGACATTATTTCAGTTGTTTAATGGCTGTATTCATATTAGAAATTTCCATCCACCTTAATAGAAATCCGGCTTTTGTTCCTGCTTCATAAGAGCTACTTTTAAACATACCGTCGTGGGTTGAAAAGGTCAGAAAACTTGAAATGCATCCAATAATTAAACACCTACACTGTAACTTTGAAATTCATGTCTTTTTTTTACGTACTTCATTTTTGTGGCGTTATCTTGCGCCTCAAGAGGCTCCACCGCAAAACGAAGTTTGTTTTTTATTTTTACTTTTCATCGTGAAATTAAACTTTTCTTTTTTAATTGTATCTTCTTTCAACAGAGCATAATTGTTCTGCAGGTTTTCTTGCAAACATCAGTATTGCTATGAAGAAATCCGTTTAAAACTATACACAGTATGGCGGAATCTATTCTAAAATCTCTTAAAGATCTGCAGAGGTTTGTATGTTTCATTTTATACTTTTAATATATACTTGTTTTCGCCGACCGGTTTTTAAAATAAATGCAAGAAACGAATGGGTACGAACTATATATATATATTGTAACGCTACGGGGTTCACGTGGGCACCCTCGCCGCTGCTGCATCAGGTCGGTCCCCCACTATCGGGGACTCAAACCCAGGCTACCGGTGTCACTCAACAGGGACTCAGCCTGTTGAGCCAAAGGGAAATCTCCCGTCAGCCTGATGGCTGCGGTCCCAGCTATTCACAGGGAAGGGCGGTGACGTCACCGCTCTGGTAAGCCAGCTCTCGCAAGCAATGGAGGCCGTATGCGTTACAATATAATTCAATTCCCAATATATAATTACCCGTATAGCTGGATATAGCTGTGTTTTCGTGAGTAATTTGTCTATTTAGGAAGAAAACATATTGTCTTTCGTTTCGTTCGTTTTCTCTTACTTGAGGACGTAGGTGTCGGTAAAACACTAAGCAGCCAAAATGTCGAACTCTGTTCGCAGTTACAACAATGACGAAACCAGAGACCTTCTCAAAAATCTTTGCATGTTGTATTTCCAAAACAAAGATGACGGGAGTCGCCGTGAGCTGGCAGACCTGCTGGTCAGGGAAGGAGGGGCAGGTAATGAAATTACCTGAGATTATGGTCAGATTTACAATGCAGTAACAGTTCCAGCAGCTGTCCTGTATCGTAGGTAGTGCATCACTATTTTAAACTGTTTCAAACTGCCCCACCGTCGTAAAATAATACCAGGTAATGTTTCTTTTTTTGTGTATGCCATTATTAAATATGGGCGACACGCTGGCATTGATGCCTCACAGTGCTTGGGCCCTGGGTTCAATTACAGACCTGGGTTTCTGTCACTTGTAAAAGTTAATTAATGTTAAATATGGAGTTTGTCACTCGGCGGCCTGTGTGGGTCCAAATGCCCCAGCATGGTGTGATGGGACACTATACAGTTGCAAAGCTCCATGGAAAGCGGAGGGCATGACGAGGCACAGAAAGGCATGGTGGCCATCCACTGCAACCAAGGAAGTCTCCAGTCGCAACGACTACTCGTACCGCTGGACCCAGGCTTCTGAGGTCGAGAGAGCGGGACTGCCCCAGTGCAACGGCTTTCCCACACAGCTCTCCCAAACAGATGAGCTGCACGAAGGACAGCCCTCATCGTCAGACACGACGGACAACCATCATGGAGTTTGTATGTCGTCCCCATGTTTGTGTGGGTTTCCTCCGGATGTTCTAGTTTCCTCCAGCAGTCCAAAAAAATGCTGGTAGGTTATTTGTCTTTCGGGAAAATTGGCCTTGGAAGTGTGCGTCTGTGTGTGTGGCATGCATCCCCTCCAGGGTGTACCCTGCCTTGCGTCCATTGTTTGCTGGGATAGGCTCCAGCTCGCCTGTGACCCTGAATTGGACTAAATGGTGAGCAAATGCAGATGACGGTTGATATATTAAAATACATTTTGTTGGTAAAACGAATAAAAAACCTTATTTGGTGATATGTCAGATCTTATTTGAAAACTATAGAAGTTAAGACAACATCTTTCAATCTTTCAAATTTAAGAGGGTTTTAAGCTGGGTGTGGTTAAAATTGGTGTTTTGTTTTGTCTCCTTGTAGAATTGCTTGTTAAAATATTCATTACACTTTCCGACATCGGCTTCTTCACTTCTAATTCTGTGTGGTTTCCTGCTTACTATACATTTAACTCAATATGGAACTACAGTGACGCAAGTCTGCTGTTTGGTAAGTGAAGTTTGTTTAAATGTTTGAAATCATAATGAGTTCATTGTTTTAAAGACATGTGGGTAAGGCAAAAAAAAGCCATTTTTAAAAAGCGCCTTTATTCAACTAATGACTTAGACCTTTTGTTTCACTTTTTTCCTTCTTAACATGTGTATATAGTGTCTGTAGATCTGGGACAGAGAGGTAAGATAAATGGGCCATTCTAAGATTAGGTGTTTTTTTAAGTGTCATTTTGCAGAATACCCTAAAATATTCTATCCAGTACTTTCAAAACCTAGCAAGTTGTCAATTACAAAAATATTTAACTGCTTCTTCGCATTCCTAGAATTATATAAGAATATAGACATACCTTTCACTCTATTTGTTACAGGTACAAAAAACGTAAAACTCCTTGGTAAACGAGGAACACCAAGTATATTGAAAGGACGCTCGTGGCTCATTTATGTCAGAATAATAACCTACATTTCACTGCATTGCTATTTTCCTTCAACTTGCAGGAGAGGAGCTAGGTAAACTAGGACTTATTAAATACTTGGTGGCAGTCCTTGATCATGAGCCCTACAAGAGTAAACAAGAAGAAAAGGTGGGGATTTTCATGTTTTCCTTTTAAAAGCAGCGGTTGTCTCATCTGTTGCAATGAGCAACATATATTCTAAGAGGCTTAAAAATGCAGCAAATGAGTATTAGAACCACTATAGGATTGGCTGAATTTTTAGTGCTTCTCAGAATGTACTGTATGTTTTATATACGGGAACAAATAGAGATTAAGTCCACACTGAATATGAATAAGACAAAAGAGCAACATGTTTCTGCTATTGGTCCTACATCAGCCATAGTCTTTCTTTCCGAAAAACAGAGGTAAGGGATTAACCTCTACTTGTTTCTTTGCACCCCACACACTGAGGCAGTTTCCCACCTGACCCTCTCTATAGAAATGTATATGTTGTTTTAAAAGGAAATCCTAAATAATAAACTATGTGTTTTCCAGAATGTGAAGTATCTTCTGAAGGCTTCCCTCTGTACTCTACACAATCTTGCCAAGGTTCCTGAGAATAGGCCTCTTCTCCGACAGGACAGAGGGGTTGGGAAAATCGCCTATTACACTAGAGTGGAGGACGGACTGCTCAAAGTGGTGTCTATCATGCTACTGGGTTACATCATTGATGAGGATGAATCAGATGTGCTCATGGATGAATCAGGTGGCAGACTATTTTGTGAAGCAGCTGTGCCTGCTTTGTTGCTGTATCCTCTCAGTGTTGTGCAATATGAGAAGAGATGCTGTTATAATATTGAAGTGTACAGTATATAGTATGCTTGTAATTCTTTCAGGTGCTGTGGAAATCATGGTAAAAATACTCCAGGGGGCTTTAGATTCCAAAGACCAACGGTGTTGTGGATACAGAGCTTCTGAAATTGCGGAAGGTTTGTCCCTCATTGCAACTTGTGAGAAGAATAAGGAAAAGGTAAAAGAAAAAAACTTCAAATTAAAGAGATTAAACCAAATCCTTTCATAAAATATACTGAGAATATGTTCTGAATTTCCAAAAGATACATTTGAAAGCATTACTCCATGCATCAAAAAGGAAAAAAAATATGAATGCCCTAGGAATATGAGCGCATAATGTTGTTTGAGAATTGGCCTAAACATAAGTTTCAACATTATAGTTTCAACACATGCTGACCAAGAACAAAATGAATTGCAATTCAATTGGTAAAAGAAAATATAAGGAATCAGGCAAGGTTCAGAACAAGCTTTGCTAAAAAATAGAATTATTTCAGTAAGCTGGCATATTTGACACTGCCCTTATTTGTTCTTTATTCATGATCACATTCTCAGTCCCAGCATACTGGTGACAGACAAGCTGTTTGTCTCAAGTGGGTTTCCAGCAATGTGAGGGGTTAGTATGCAATTGTGGGATAGAAATCCTCAGTACTGTCATCAGTACTCCATCCTGAGAAACCATCTGCCAGTTGCTTTCAGACTACAGACTTAGACACTTTCCCAGTTACAAGATTATTTACATTCAGAAGCATCTCATCCAGTTTCTTAAGTGAGAGTCAAAGCATGATATGCTTGTGTAATTATCTTGTAAGATGTGGAGAAAGATTATGAACCATTTGGCTGTTTTGTCATTAATGTTTCCACTTAAATTTACCCCACCCTCAAGTATTTGCCTAGATGCAGTTTATTTGAACAAATTAAGAGTTATTTAAATCTAAAAAATATTAGGATATTTTGCTAACAACAGTGTTACAGCACTCTCTGTCTTGGCCTTATGCTTTTTCCCCAATATTCTTTAAGGTTAGTTAAAACATTCAGGATTATTATGAGAAACAACTTTTGTATCTATGAGAAAAATGTAAGCCTTAGTCACTGGTCCCACTGGTTGTGATAAACAGTGATATAAAATAACAATATGCACTTTAAAATTAATTCAGTCAACACTAGTTAGTCAAAACGTTCATGAAAGCTAGCTCTCTTTTTGCGATTATATTTACAATACAATGCTAATTCATGTAACAATACAATGCTGTAAGAAAGACATTCAGCACATCTCATTTAAGTACAACAGAGAAACCCCCTTATGATTTAGTTTGAGAATTTTGAAATTGATCAAAATATTACCATTGCTCTTTTCTCTAATTCTCTATTTAAAAAAAAATACAGCACATCATCATCCATCCATTTTATAACAGCTTCATCCAATTCAGTGTGTTGGGGGAGCCAGAGTCTGTCCCAGCAAGCAACAGAAGGGACACCAGTCCACTGCAGGGCAGACAGACACCAACACAGTCACACCAGGTCCATTGTTCCCAGAAGCCATCTAACCTACTAGTATCTTCAAATTGTGTGGTAGGAAACCAGAGCACCTGCTGAAGACCCATGCAGACACAGGGAGAACATACAAACACCAAGCAGATAGTTCCCCAGGTCAGGAATTGAACCCTGGGGCCCAACACTACAAAGCAGCAATACTAACCTCTGTACCATTGTGTCAGTCAGCATGTTATCATCCTATTGATATGATATGTTTCCTAGATATTCAGATCTGGAGCTCTTCCAGTGTTAATGGAGATGATGGAAAGCAAAAACAGTCACGACAAGTTATTTGCAGCCAAAGTTGTTTGGCAGCTTGCCTTTGATGCATCAATACGAGATGAAATGAGAGAAAGTGAGTAAGTCAGCAAGATAACGTTCTGTATCACACACTCTTTTCATTCCTGAGATTTTGAGCAAAGTAATAAAACAGGAAAATGAAGTATTGTCCTAACACAGAAATCCATAGTACTACTTAAAGGCATTTAAAAATCTACCATCTGTTTCATGAAGAAGTATTCTTGTGTTATAATACTGCAAACAACATCTGTTCTCAAGCAGTTAGTTGCTTCTCTTTTTAAATTAATTACTGGTATCTAAATTGTTACAAATGATATAGTAATTGCAACTATTTCTGGTTTTAACCATTAATTATAGTGGCTGTCATCATCATACATTTAAGAATAAATTACATTTCTATAATTTATTCTGAAAATGCAAGATCATTTTTTCCTGGTACTGTATGCATACAACTGTCTCACACAAAAAAACTAAAAATAATTTGAAAAAAATATTTTCCCTTTTTTTGTAGTTAATATTAGTATTGCAGAATAAGAGAGGTTTGCACTTAGAAATTTACATTTATAATGGTGTTTTATTTCATAGATGAGAGTCTTATGAACCTGCTGGAGAGCCTCTCTAAAGATAAGAACAAAGCAGTTCGTAATACTGCCCATGGGGCAAAGTGGGTCATTGGAAAGCAAGCTGAAGAAAAATCAAAAAACAAGGAAAAAAACAGTTCTCAGTCAGGTACATTAACCTGTTTTACAGACCGTATACCTTAACATTTGCTGCACACTACAGCAAATGCTATTTTAGTAGTAGAATCAGTAGTAATTATTTTTTTTTCTATATTGCTTTTTTTATTCCAAAGAACCCCATATCACTACACATATAGGAGGGGGGGTTCATCTAATTTTATCCACCACTGAAGAGCAGCCCCCCCCCTCCCCCACCTGGGTGGAGCAGTGGCTCTGTGGCTAAGGCTCTATGCCTGTGTCTGGAAGGTTGCTGGTTCAAATCCCATGGCAGCCAGTGGAATCGTACTCTGTTGGGCTCCTGAGTAAGGCCCTTAACCCCAACTGCTCCAGGGATGCTGTATAAATGGCTGACCCTGCCTTTTATTTGCAATAGCCATTCTGAACCTGCATAGTTACCAGAATAATTAGAATCAGGTGGTTAAATCGTTAGATAACAATTAAACAAGGTCTTAGTTTGTGCAGCCCTGTCCTGAATAATGGTCAGATTAACTGTCAGCTTGGTCTTCCCCATATAACCTAGTGGAACCATGTTATGCACTGACCTACAGAAATGTCAGAGGACCTTAGAAAAAGAATAGTTGATAGTTATGGGTCTGGAGGTTGTTGCAATACCATTTCCCAACAACTGAGACTACATCTATCCACTGACAAACAGAAAAGATTCATGACCACAGTGACAGGTGTATACTTTTGTGTGGAAGAAATAATCAGAACAAGCAAAAATGTCTTCCAACAGAAGAACATCATCTCAGCTGTCAGATATGGTGGTGGTAGTATCATGGATTAGAGCTTATTTTCCTTCCTGCCTCAGGGGCTGAACAGCTCACCATCACGGACAAAAGCATGGATTTGGCATTGATGAACAATTTCCGCAAATAGCTAATTCTGGAAAATGTCAGGATGAATGTCATGCATTCATCAGCTGAAGTTGAGCCCGACGTGGGTCACGGAGCAAGACAATGATCCTGAGCACACAAGCACACCATAACAAAATGGCTGAAAAAATTGCAAGTACAAGTTCAGACCTAAACCCCATCAAAATGTTATGATAGGACACATATTCTTGCAAGACAATCCTCAAATATCACCAACATGCAACAGTTCTATAAGGAAAAATGTGCCAGAATTCCTTAAAGCCAGTGTGAAAGATTGATATACAGTTGCAGGAAGCTTCTAGCTGAAGTGATTGGTATGCTCAAGGAGGTGTCACCTG